CTGAAAGCAATCTTCACTTTACTGCTTTGATGTATGTTGCACATTTATGAACTAACATATCCCTTACGACCCAAGAAGAATAAAATATGTCAGTCTCATACTAGTCTGTATCGAATATACATGCGTTTTCTTGAATTGATTGGCGCATACATAACAGTATGAGACTGAATCCTAGTGTTTTTGAAGAAGAACTAATTTTTGTGGTTATGCATAATTATATGCATAATTTTAATTAGAAACAAAATCAAAACAATATGTCTGTTCCACGAGTTACTCGTAGTAACCTTGAGTAACACTGTGTATACGCAAGTGCGTTCCACCAGCAAATTTTCGTGTATTTTCGTGTGAATTTTACTTGTGTTTTACTTGAGTTTTACTAGCAGTAGCTCATGGAACAGACCTAGTATAAGATTCAATATGACTTTTCATTTATTTTTGGTCAAAATATATGGCAGGATTACCCTTAAGCAGGGGTTTGTGATTCGTACTTAACACATTATTCATTGTGAAGCTACACAGTATGTTTCATAATATGTTTAATATGATATGTTTAATATAATATTTATGTGTTTTATTATAGCTAATTACTTATTAGCTAAAGTTAAACTGCTATTAAAATCATATCAAATATTTTTCTCTATATACATTGTACAAAAGTATTAACAAAGTCAACATGTCATCTCTTATTACAAGACAACTGATATATATGTCATCTGATAACCCCAGATAACTGGAGAAATAACTTCAGTTTTCAATTTGTCAAATCAAAGAATCTTTGTTTTTTTATTCACCACCAATTCTGCAAACGACTCCATAAATCCTTTAACTATTTAAAAAGCCATTTCTGTATAAAATTCGTTGGCTTTCTAAAACGTACTGGCCCAGTCACCAGCAGTGCTCGGAGAAATATATAAATATTTTTTCTGCTTTTTGCTCTCCTTCCACAATTATTGAGTTTTGTCGTCTCACTTGCATTATTTTCCTTCCTTATTCCTTTAGATACTAATTTATGTTATAATTAATACGGCAACTGACAATACTATCGATAGAGAATTTCCAAAAAAAAATTAATTCGGAAAATATGTTCAACAAAGAATTTGGGTGTCCTTAAAAGCAAATATGTTTTTCTATGGCGGTACTTATGTTGATATAATGGCACTGCAGGATGTGAGTCTGCTACGGAAAAGTGTTGTTATAAATCAGGACGAAGGTCGAATTCGGTGATGTGTATTCTAATTTTTATTTTTTCTTTTCATTTTGGTTTTCATTGAAAGAGTAATAAAACTTTTTTTTTTATTAGAATTTACATTTTTACATTTTCTATTTAAAAGCTAATGATTTCAAAAAAAAGTATCTAAACAGCTGTATGGTCAACCACAAATTCAATTAATTAAAATAATATAAAAAAAATAAATAAAATTTTTGTTGTTGTAGTTCACTACTGTTCAAAAAACCTCTTTATGAAAGTATCTAATAAAATTAAAGTTTAACATCAATTGCATATACAGATACTAAACATAACTAGTAACATAGAAGACTAGTTAGTAAGACTGGTTAATTTTTGAGTCAAATTAATTATACTTGACCTATAAGTATACTTCGAGGTTCCTTAAAACGCAAAATCTAGTTTTTGCTTACATATTTTTTTATGTGATATCATTATTTCTTGCTGACACTACATAACAACCATAAAGGTTGGGCATTTTATAAAGAACATCTGTAGATCGTATTTACCTCTTAGGTAAGAATATTCGAATTTAGCGTGTATTATTTTCTAATTATAAAATATTTTCATTTTAAAATTTCATTTTTACAGTACGTTTAGTGAATCTTAAATTAATATAAAAGTAAATATAATCAAAATAGGTTATAATATACAACCTTGCTTCACTCCGGTTGCAGCTGGAAATTCATTGGATACATATCTCCCAGTCCATACTGTGCATTTAATGCCTGAATATACATTTTCTATAAAACGAGATGTTTTGTTGAGACTTCAGCTGCTTAAAGCTTATAAATTAATACCTTACGAGAAACCCTATTGACGGGTGCTTTGAAGTTTACAAAAAAGGTACACATTTTTTTATTGTTTTTAAAATTTATAGTACATATGGATGACAAGTTGTAAATATTATCCACTGCAGAATAATTCTTCCGGAACCCAGCCTGATAGTCGTTTATTATTCTACTACTTTCGGTCCAATTTGTTAATCTGTCTGTTACTACACCTATATTTCGCGGTAGTTGTTTGGTATTCCTAAATCACCTTCCTTATGCATAGGGTATTTTATGCTTTTCACAAAGGATTCATCAACTATGCCGCTGTTAAACATGTCTCTCCCTGGGAGTAACGAATAAGAACATTACCGAGTTAAGGCATGCCTGTCGTAAAAATCGACTTAAGTCTCGGCGCTGTGCCGACACTTGGGAGGAAGTGTACATGGTACTAAGTGTTGTTCCAGATTGCGACACTTGACCAGCGATGTAAATCCGGTACTACGGCGGTTAGTGGGCCCGCAACTTCCCTGTGCTGACCAGTTGAGGTTGGATTCGTAGTGGCTGTGGTTAATATCCAAACTTACTTGGGTAGAATGATCAGGTATTTGTTTATCATTCATTCAGCGTGGAGTTGCGTATTCAACACCGGATGCTGTGAACCAAAGATCAGCAGAGGTTGGGTGGGCCTCGCATCAAAACAAGGTTGAAGTTATGTCCTACGCACATTGCGTCAATAGCACCAGCTCAAATTCATAAGTATTTAAGCCGTCGAGGCAGATACCCACGCTAAACAACACTGGTACTGTTAAACATGTCTTTACAAGCAATTGTTATCTCTGTTAGGATTTCGTTTGGGGCATGTTTAGTGAACTTATAAGGTGTTCTGTCTTCTCTCGGAGCTTTATTACTTTTTGTTCGCTCAATAAACTCTTTCACTTCTCTTAGTGTTATAGTTTTGTTTTGCTTATAAACTTTTCTATACCAGTGAGCATACTGTATTTCTCAAGATGTCTGTGAAGAGTTTAGTAAATTACTATAATATAATTTCAGCATTTCGGCGTCTTTCCTAGTCTTTGCTAGTCTTTACATTTCGTATCTTAGCATTCAATTATTGATAGTATCTCTGTTTGACTTCTGCACATATAACTTTATGAGGCTTATTATCTTTTAAGTAAATCTTTTTATTCTGGTTACTATTTACTTTTCTAAATTCTTCTAGGCTCTTGAATGTTTCCTGTCTCGCTTTATGACAGCTCCAGTCATACCATTTTTGCTTTTTCTCGAACAAGTGTTCCCTAATTGGTATTTTTTTATACACCGATTTAATTACATAACTTACATCCATCAGTGGTAATTGATCCTTATTCTGCTTTACATTTAATAAGGTTTAAACTTAATATATAATAATCTTAGGTTATTGGTTTATATTTGCATTAAACTAGTTATTTGTACTTAGGTGTGTACTTCTTGAGTGGAAAAGATTTTCAAAATCTCTCTCTTTCTCTCTCTCTCTTTCTCTTAACTAATCGCACTTATATACACTTATAGTCTGCCAGATTATATACCAGATATAAAATTTTAAAAGTACAGGAAACATTTATAAGAACACATCACAGCAGCTAAAAAGCAATATAGGTATGCAAAAATATTATAGGACCAGCGATAGTATATGATAGGAAGAAGAGCTTGGCTACACAGTGAAAATTAGAAACAAAAGATCATCTGATGGAAAGTGTAGTAGCAATGATGTGCAATCTGAAAACTAACTTATTTAGACTAGGATTAGTGTCGTCCCAATCTCTCTCTCTCTCAAAGTAAAGCAGCAAGAAAAGTATATTTGCTGGTCAGGTCATATGATGAAAAGTCTTTGCGAATTAATGAAATTAAGATAGGTCCGCTGAAGGACTAATGAAAATCCACAGCAATACCATTAAAAGTGGTATACGATGAAATAGCATAAAACCACAGACCACGTGGTCTAGAAAAACCTCACAAGGTGAGCTGACCCAAAATCAGATATGAGATTACGAAAATAATGACAAAACCAAGGCTATATTTATAACTCGAAAAAGAAGACAGCATCCTCCAAGAGCGAGCGTTTGTGACATGGAGTTATGGTGGGAGGATAACATAAAATATCTGGGGGTCACTTTTGACAAACGGTTCAATTGGCTTAAACATTTGAAATACAAACGGAATAGCTGCTCTAAGATTCTACATTTATTAAAGCCGCTATTTAATAATTATCACTTCAAGTTTAAAAACAGAAAGTTACTTTATACGCAAGTAATTAGACCAGCACTATTGTACGGATGTGTTACATATAGCAAAGCCTCAAATACTACCTTAAAGCAATTACAGATAGCTCAAAACCTGGCCTTCAGAAGACTGTTTAAGATTCCATGGTATATTAGATCAACAGACATACATAGAGATCTTAGGATTGACTCAGTGAAAAAATATATCAGAGACAGAGCTCTAAAATTATTCACTTAAGTTGATATGCTACTTAACCCCGCCATAACAATCCTCAAGTCCACTTCTGGACTCTCAGGAAGATATGCTGATTTAAGGTCCATCATCAACTAAAAGACAAATAAATGATAGGATTTCTTAGCCTAGTTAAGGCCTAGTGTGGGGTAGAGATAAGCCCCCCAGGCCATTATAGAGTAAAAGGGCGTAATAGCACTAACTCAAGAAGAAGAATCAAAAAAAGAAAAAGAAGAAATGGTGACATTCTTGAAATATTCACTATCAAATTCAGTTTATACTAATGTTGTTTAGGGATGTTGTTAGGAGAACTTTGCAATATTTAAAATTGTTTACTGTTAGTTCTCACCTGAGTAATGTTACTAAGTTTCAGTACAATTGTCTGCCGACTGAGCACACTGGAAAAATTTTTAAACACATTTTGACTTCTAAGTAAAATTTTATTTTCTAATAATTAAAGTATTCAATATTTATATTCAATTTATGTATTATTGTAATGATATTTGGTAAATAAGAAAATATTAAAAAAAGAAAAATATAATTTTTACAAGAAATCATGTTGGGCATTAAAATAATATTTCTTGGTATTACGGTTATACAACTAACCATGGTGGTGGGTTTTATTTGTTATATATTTAACTATAGTTGTTCACAATTTTGTTTTACTCTTCGTTATTCTTGTTAGGTGGGAGAATTGGTTATTGACTACAAAGCTGGCTATCACAGGAATAGGAGGACCGCTGACCACTTATATCGTGAATTTCAGCTGAGGGCAGCTACAATCAACCAAGAGCCACGTATTGCAACTGATTTATTGGCATTAATTGGACACTTAAGAAACTAAGTTGTAAGAATACCATCTCAAAAGTAACTCATATATATAAAGATCTAAAATATTTAATTTTAGAATTTGTCCAAAAAAAGGTTGGTTGATGTGGAACTCGAAGTGATGCTCCTTTCTTAGTAAGCGAAGATGTCAGCGAAATTGTTATCAGGTAGCGTTAGTAGCCAGAAATATATTTTCTAAACTGCTTTTGCCAATGGAAGAGTATTTTTAAACATAATAAATACATACAATAGCTATTTTCTTGTAAAAACCAAAAAAAGAAGCATTATCGTATGTTTTAGTTAAAGAGAATCGCAGGGTTATTGGTTATTTTAAAAGTCTGAAGTGAAACACATTAAAGAACATACTGTGTAACACTGGGCTAAATCAATCTAGCTAGTGTTGCAACAAAATACATTCTAACTATAAATATATATAAAATTATATAAATCGTTACTTAAGTGATCTGTAGTATTGAAAACATGTTCGTGTTAACTGTATGGCATTTTCAAATTGAGAGTTACAGCGAGTTGTGCTATTTTTTAGTAGTGTTAGTACTGTTACCTCTACTTGAAACAGAAGACAATAGAAATTTTTTTTAATAAAGCATGATATCAGGTTTAACAGAAACTTTAGCTTCTGTTCAAGCTATAGTTAAGTTTGTTTATATACCCAATCCTAATAGTTAGTCATATTGGCTCATTAAAAAAACTCCTTGAAAACTTAAAACTTAAGCCTAAAATGCACTTTAGAGGAAGGTTCTTGAGTTAGACTAGATTCTCTTCACAACAAAAATGATTCACTTCCCTTCCCTTATCGGCTGTGACCTGTCAACAAACCTACCATAAGACCTTTCAACAGCCAGGTGTTTCTAAATGGTAAATCGATGTCAAATTTCCTGTCAAAATTGAGAATGGTAAAGATGTGATAAATATTTTTTAAAATTCAACTGAATAGGTTAGGAATAGAGCTGTTGTCGTAATCACTAGCCTTTAACTGAGAAGAAACTTCAAGACTAAGAGCAGATGATGCTGGCAATCATTGCACGATTAATACTATTGAGTGCAGTACGAAGATTGTGTGAGACCGTCCACCATACAACAGTACAGGTTTTATGACAGTCGTTGAAAGCCATTGACTTATTTGTGATTGTAACCGAAGTAGTTCTTACTACTAATACAAATTGTATTCTACCATGTTTTTAATTATAACATGTTTTAAAATCTTTGTTAAGAATTTCTAGAATGACAATGACCCTTTCCAATGCTTATAATTCTTAAATGTAACTCTGAATTTATTCTCTAAATTTTTTATACACACTTTTATGAATTCTACACGCATTGCGCACCGTTTCATTACAATAGACGTACATTTTTTTTTGTGATACATTAAGACCGAAAAGTTTTCGGAAATTCTCATTTAAAATTCGCGCGCTGTATATTTTTCGATATTTTAAGTTTATGTAGTTTGGCAGCACTGTCCTTAATTACTATGCCAAAAATGAGCGCGATCTGTCAGACAGTTCGTTTACGGCAGCTGTTGAAACCAGTTCACCTCAGTAGGGCGTTGCGAAAAAAACAATGGAAAAAAATATTGAACAAAGAGTTTGCATCAAATTTTGTGTTTCGAACGAAATTTCGTGTGCAGAATCGTTGCGAATGCTACAAAAGGCTTATGGGGAATCAGTTTTATCGAAAACTCAAGTTTATGAGTGGTACAAAGCCTTCCAGGACGGTCGTACGACCGTCGAAGACATTTCGCAACGCACTACTGAGGTGAACTGGTTTCAACAGCTGCCGTAAACGAACTGTCTGACAGATCGAGCTCATTTTTGGCATAGTAATTAAGGACAGTGCTGCCAAACTACATAAACTTAAAATATCGAAAAATATACAGCGCGCGAATTTTAAATGAGAATTTCCGAAAACTTGTTCAGTCTTATAGGTGCGACCGTGTTTAAAATTTGAATGTAAAAATAATTGAAACTTTAAATATATCACAATATTCAAAATGAAAATATTTTTTAATCGTGTTGTCTTCAAATTTTTGTTGAATTACTACCAACCAGTAGGTAACTCTGTGTACCTACTCAGCTAAAATGTACATATATTGCTATATTCTTGAACTATTTTAAGTTTCCATTGTCGATATTTATTGGAATTCACTTCGCATTTCAATGGCTTAAGCTAGTCTTTGAAAAGTGCACTTTTCAAAATTTTTCGCCAGCAATGAATCCAATCTCCGTTGAATACAGCTATGAAATGAATCCAACAAATTTCTGAATTTTTGAACTCTAATGAGCACGAATTATTATTGCGATTTCAATATGCACTTGTAACTCGGAGTTAATGAATGCAAATGAGAATTCGAAAGTTAATTGCATAAAATAACCAAAAAACTTATTAAATAATGCTCTTCGCATATTATCGACGTGCATTAGACGCACTCCTCGAAGCATTCCGAGCCAGCCTGAAACAACAGATTTTACAGCTTTGGAAGCGAGTTTCGAAAACAATTCAAAAAATTCAGACTTTTGGGTCTTTGTACGAATGAAATTGAAATTCTTAATTAAAAACGTTTTCATTTACTTTATTAATGTTTTATGTCGTCTGCATAAGGATCAAGTATTCGAGTGCCTTCCAAAGGACAAAACTTAAATTGAAATGCAAAAGCCAACGAACGAGAAACGAGCGCTCAAAACGCAAACAACGCAAAACAAAGCAAAAAGTTTAAAGCACTAAAAGTCAAGTGACATTAACTGATTTCATTACATTTCATTTGCTACATGATTATGCAGTTTTAATTAGAAAGGAATAACGAGCGAATAAAATTGCAGGATATACGCGCGGAGCGTACCGTGGATACAATACTGAAAAGTAACCAAAAACTAATCGAAAAATACAGAACAGTGCTATGTTAGTTCTGCTATGAATACCGAAACGAAGGCAGCAGAAAAGTATTGCAGAATCTTTTTACTTGGTAATTAGAACTATGGAATTGTAAACGAAAAAAATTCTTCTGTTTCTTACTTCCTACGCCTTTTATTCAATGGTTCAAGTGGGAATATTGATGAAGGCGCGCCAAATTAGCTAATTGAGCACGAGACTAAAATTATTCCATTAAAGTAATATGCTGAGCTTACCTACCTTCGAATACGAAGTTTAGCAGTTATAATAAGAACACAAATAGTATTTGGTATACCTCATGTTCTTCCCAAAACAAAATAATCCATATAAGAGTCACTGTGAGCCTAGTTACTGAACACCGTTAATTATTCACTGAAAATGACTACAACGATTCTTGCGTAGTATTATACCACTCCACTTGAAACATCTCCAAAACCGAATTTTCGAATGCATTAACTGTTTGTCCTGTCGATTACGATAACGGTTTACGCAGCTTGTCGATGTGTGAAAACTCATATTAGTTTTTTGTAAAATTATTTATCTTTGACAAATAATTTTCTATATTTCACTGAACAACATTCACTACTATATGGTGCTCTTATGAGACTATTATCACATGATCAGCATTTTTAAAAAAACAGGAAACAATTTCTTTCCAAGTCTCCTATTCTCAAGACCTTTGGGTTGTGCACAGGATTTGACATCCGCAACATAAGGAAACCGTCTGTTGATGACCTCCCAATACAATCAAATGACAATGATTTACGAATAAGTGCCTAAAATATACGAACCTACTATGGGTAATAAGAGCCTTATTCTAGCTGGTAAAAACCTTCAATATATGTAAGGCTGACATCAGTGCCATCCAGGAAATGCGATGGACAGGACAAGACTGCAGTAAAAGAGCAAATTGTGGAATCTGTTACAGCTGCCAGTCAAGCAGTCATGATTTTTGGATGTGGCTTTGTTGTCAGCAATAGATCGTTGAACTCTGTTTATTAGTAAATGAAAGGCTTGCTACACGGCACATTAAGGAAATGCTCTTCAATATTATCGTTTATTATGCTCACGTACCCACTGAAGAAAGACGATCTGACCAAAAATACTTTTCTACACAATACTCGGAAAAATTAATGACAGTCCCATTCCTGACGTTAAAATTGTTGGTCCAGCTGTCAAAAAACTCAGTCTTCACGAATCTTCTCCAACAACTGTCTGAGGCTGATTGATTTCGGTGTAGCGAAAAATATGATAGTATGTAGCACCAGATTCTCTTAAACCAAGGCGACGTGGCTATCTCTCGATCAACCTACATGGAACCAGATTGATCATTTCGTGATTGACGTAAGACACGCTTGAAATGTTTTGGACGTACATTCATTCCATGATCCAAATATCGACTCAGCCAACGTTGTGATCGCTGCAATCACGAGAGGCAACCGAATTTTTTGCCTCTCAACTCGGTAGCAGACTAAGTAATCAACTATTACGTACATGCCGGTAGACAACGGGAACAGACCTCTGACTTCATACGCTACTACGAACGATGTTCTCGGCTTCCAACGTTCCCCGCGATGAAATGAATATTTGATGGTTTGTGGAAGAAGGCGTAGATGTAGATTGTGTCTCAGGTGTAGTGATTAAGACGAAAAAGTACTAAACGTACTTGATGTACGAGAGTGGAGGAGTTCACGGTGCTCAGGCGCCTGGAGTGACACGCTGCGCCCGGCTTTAAGTATTTGAAAATAATTTATTTTAAAATAATTTAAAATTTGAATCATTACATCAATCAACTATCAAAAATAATTTTATAACTATAATTTGATATGAAATTTGTATAAATGTAGCTAAAAATCATCTTCTTACTACTACTAGAGTTATATTCATATTTTTGCTATTTTCTTGTTTTCGATCGCCATCAAAAATATAAAATTTGTTTTTATAATTAGTTTTAATACAATAATTCTTCTCGAAGTGCAAATATATGTGCTTGGAGCTTTTACAGAAAAAGATACATTGTAACTTTTGTACAGTTCAGCGTACTCAATTACCACTCCCGACAATTAACATGCCACCAGTCAGTGCATGTACCACTTGAAAACTTATGCCGCAACTTGCAACTCGCACAACATAGTACAAGGCAAGCAAAAACGATTCACATTCACATTAAATGTAGTAAATAAAGCCCCAAAAACTGAACAATCAGCGCTTACAACAGGGCATTAAGTGGGTATCATGAACAGCGAACACCGAACAGTGAACGGATGAAAACGGATGGTAACGGATGAAAATGGATGGAAACAGACGAAAACAAGTGGAGCAGACACTGTTACAGTTTTTGGGGTGTGTAAGTTGAAGCA